GAATTTTTATTTTTGGTTGAAGAAGATTGCATTATTTTCAACAATAATTTATATCTTTAATATAATATATTTAACCTGATAATGGATAAAATAATAGAAAATCTCCCCAGAACAGCTGGATTCAAAATGGGAAATACATTCTTCGATGCCGTCTGTTAGGCTGACGATGCTGTCCTTATTGTAGATTCTGAGCATAACCTCCAAAGGTTACTACATTCTTTTAATACTAAAGCAAAAGAATAAAATATGCCCATCAACATTGAGAAGACCAAATGCTTGATATCGTCCAAGGAACCGATAAGATGTAAGCTGGGGATCAACTCCAACTGTCGAACAGGCGAGTCGTTTCAAATAATTGGGAGCTGAAATAACGAGTTAGATTCGAATTACCTTCATACCAAAAGCAAAATCAAGATATATATATATAAAATGGCTATAAGCCATAAGCCCCAAGTCTACAAGCAGAAGTCTACAAATAATGAGAACAGTTTAGATGAAAACAAAATACAAGGCAAAACTCTAAATCACAGAATACGGAACGAAGAAAAGAATGTTGGACCTCATCTTCCGAGGAGGATGTGTTGGCAATGAACATGCAGTAACCTACCAATATTACAGTATTTGAAAGAAGAAGAAAAAGAATACTGCAACCTAATGTATTCTTCTTATAAACTGTTAACTAATATTCATTTAATTTTTTTAATCATTCATTCGACATTCGGACATTCGTAAAGTCAAACTTCTATATTATATTAGTGCAATAGTTAATATTTTTGAAATTCTGTTTGTAAAAATTGGCGTTAAACTCGTATGAGTGAAAATGTACCATTAGTTAGACATGTATATTTTATCTGCAAATGCAGGTCCATTTTGGGTTAATTTGCAGATCCATTTTCAGGTCCAGATTACAGTAGCATTTTCATAAATTAGGTAAAATGAATGAAACATCCTGAAAAATGTTTTGAATTAGTTTAAAAACGTTAATTAATTTTGTTGTATCGCCAGTCCCAGCAAAAATAAGCATTTTGAGATAATATTAATGTCAATATAAGTTCAAAGACTTTTTCACGTCAATTGTGCTATGCGTTTATTAGAACATAATTTAACGTTTTGTTTTCCATGTTGCAACCTTCTTCAGAAATAAGTTCAAAAGTTTTATATACACCTGGATAAGTAAAGAAAAATCGATTTTTCAGAAAAGTGTTTATTCGAAAGTAGTACCCTTTGAGTATCTACCCTGAACATTTCATAAGGAAATTCGCAGTAATTGGCAAGTTTGTTTTGTAGTATACTGCCCTAATGGTAATGTGCAAGTGGAAAATCTTCTTGGTAATTTTTTATAAGATAACTTGTACTTTAAATGGTTGGTTACATACTTTACACCTCTTCTTGTTGTCCTCTCATCGCTCATTCGTCTCACGTGTCCTATCTATCTGAGTCTCCAACTTTTAATGAACTTGAGAATGTCGGCACCAATTATTAATTAGTCTATTATGTGATTCATTATTAATTTTCAGGAACCATCCTCATTTTGCAAAGCTCCAAATATTATCTGTAGCACTTTTCGTTCAAATATCCCAAGAATTTGTTTGTCTGTGGTTGTTAGGGACCACGCATCCATGTATTTCCACCGGTCTAATGAGACTTGTATATATCGTTACTTAGAAAATGCTTAACATTCTAGATTTAAACCGTTTCTCATATGCGTTGTAACAGCTGTTATGATTTACGACATGGGATCTTATATCATTATTTCAAGTGTTATACTCTTTCAAACGAGTAATCACCAATTTCTAGGTCTGCATTATTTTTCGTTGCTCTGTGCGGTTGTAATGTCATCTTTGTTCATTTCTAATCCTCTTCTCTGCGCTTCTCTGGCCAATATGGTCAAGTATTCTTTCAGCCCTCTCACACATCTTGGTCTTCTCTTCGTCAACTGTTACTGCAGCCATGGAACGGGCTGAGGTTGCTTCTATTAATCTGATATATTTAATTGGTATTTCTAATATGTACAGATACTATCAATGGAAATTGTTATACTCGACTAGTCTATCGTATAAAACAGATGATAATATTTTATATGCTACCTTTTTTATGCAATGGTCGAATAATTCCAAGGGTCCACTCTTCTGGGCTTTTTTTTTACCCATATCCCATCACTTTCTAGGTAATGCCACAGTAACTCATCTGTTGTTTCAAATACTTAACTAGACAAACTATTAACAGTCGAGAAGGTTTCGCCACTCACAAGGAAGATGGGATTGTTTTTTGCTATACTTTTGATCTGCATTGTTGAAGCAAGTACATACTTACGGCATGTCAATCTCTTAAACAATTAGATGATTGGCGTTAATAAGATCGAGTAAATCGTCCATTACAGCCTGTTTTAATATGCGATGTGAAAATTACAAAAAAATATTTTTGGATTGTTCTGAACCCACATCTATTTTTAAACGCTTTCAGATTTGAGGAGATTTCGATGCAGGGTATCATGGAACAGTGTGATTAATTTCTTTTTAAAAATTATCGATACTCTATTCTATATACTCATAAATATGATGTTTGATCTAAAATATTGATAATATAATTATATAACTTGCTTATTTACAATTAATGTTGATAAGAATGCAACTCATTAATCATAAAAACTAAAAAGTCTCTTATTTCTTCGGAGAAGTAATACGTCCATACCTTTAGAGGATATCTAATAAATTAACCTGCGACGGAAAAGAGAAATTATTAATTTGAATAACTTATCGTGCATTTTTTCACATACCAATGAGTTTCGATGTACCTCTTTATAAGGAGAAATGATGGTATGTTAAGAATCATGTTATTTTTTGTGTTTTCCATCATCACCCAATGAATTTATTTGCATTAAATAAGATCGTAATTTAATTTTTATTTCTTCGTACTATTTATTTCTTCTATTAAATGTGTTACATTGTATACTTAATAAGTATACCAGTGTGAAGTTACCCATAAATTCCATCCATAAAAAAAACTTTTTTGTTTGTGTATCGATTTTAATGATTAATAGCTCATTAGAAAGATCTCGTAGAGTAGAACCTAACATAGTTTTGGCGGCGCAGATTTTGGGCGAAAACACCTTAAATTCCGCGAAAAACAGTAAAATATATGGAAATATTCTCTAGCTTTAGAGTCCAAAAAATTGAAAACTAATTAACATAATATCAGGTATGATTACCAAATCAGAATGCGTATACTTTCGTATTCTTTTAAAAGCAAAATCATATCCATAAGTATAACTTTTTTGTTAATGGTCCGATTTAAGTTTGTAATACCTTTTTGGAAAGGGTTCGTCCTGTAGATCATGTCATAGTAATGGCGGGACCTTTAACAACAGCCGGGAACATTTAAAATAAATTTCGAAAATTAGATTATCCTATACAAGCAGATTGATACAATTGTGGAGTTCTTGTCTGTCATTTGATTGACTGTATATTATCTCATTGTATATTGTCTCACTGTATAGTTAACTCATTAAAGTAAACATTTTTTTACAAATGTCTCTATTTCGCTGAGGTTTATAATGAATTCAAATGCAAGCAATGCTCGTAGATGGCCCATGATACCTGCAAAAATAGTTTGGACGAGCTGTGTGAATTTTGTAGACACCGACCTGAACACATTCTTACACGGGCCGTTACACTTTTTTTTTTTTTGGCTTATTCGATAGTTTACCAAATTAAAGACTTCTATTAATTTATTTTTCAAACAGAGCCTTAGTTAAAAAAAAAAAAAAAAAAAATCAAAATTTGAAAAAACTTTGGATACGTCATCGTCGTTTCGCACGCGGTTGGTTGAAATAAAAATCAATAAAAGGTGCATAAGCCACGAGAATCTTATGCGCTAGAAGAAGAGAACACTTTTTGTTGATCTTCTTGATCTTACGTGAAAACCTCGTAAACGACACCAAACCTGGTATAGAGGGGATTTTGAATTTTAATATTAATTATTGCAAAAATTAAACAATTTTAGAATCTGAAAATGTTACCAATCCTTCTATTTTTACATACTTTATCGATTTTTTGAAAAATGGTCTTTCTATTCGATTTAGGGTAACGGGCCTATACGGTACAATAAAAATGTGCCATGAATTTTTATATACAATTTAATCTAGCAACTAAATGTAACTACAATTAAATTAGATTTTAATAGTTGACTACTTATACAATTTTGTTTAATTGATCGCGTTTTGTAAGTAGTTGTTGTAGCGAGTTTTAGATACTTATTATCTTTACAGAAAAATTATATAATATACAGCTGACTTGTCGTTAATAATAATGAATTATAGTATTTTATTAATATACTGTGTTTTTACTTAATATAAAAGTCCGACAATTACTAACAATGTTTAAAGGACTAAGAATATAATTATTCATAACGTTTTTAATCGTTTAATTACCCTTATTGTTAGAATTTCGCGTCGCCATTACTATGACATGATCTACAGGACGAACCCTTTCCAAAAAGGTATCACACACTTAAATCGGATCATTAACAAAAAAGTTATACTTATGGATATGATTTTGCTTTTCAAAGAACTATATTTTACTGTTTTTCGCGGAATTTAAGATGTTCTCGCCCAAAATCTGCGCCGCCAAAACTATTTTAGGCTCTACTCTACGAGATCTTTCTAATGAGCTATTAATCATTAAAATCGATACACAAACAAAAAAGGTTTTTTTTTTGATAGAATTTATGGGTAACTTCACACCAGTAATAAATATCTAATAAGTTTTTTATTAAGTAGAGAAATTATTAATTTAAAGAAGTTATCGCCCAACTTCGACGTAAATTACAATTTAATTTTTCCTGAGAAATTAAAAGCTAACGTATGCCAACTTAAACAAATTTTACGTCTACCATATGTCTTTTGTATAGTTATTATCCGATTTTATTTACATTCTTCATTAAGAATTATTTGATGACATCACAGATAATACTAGAAATTAATTTATTTTTTTTATTCGTAGGTAAAAAAATATGGATGGACAACGTGCAGTGGAACTAATGCCCCTTTTACAAGAACGTTTGGTCGTACTAACAGGAGGCCGGGATAGACGCGGAGGGCCAGTCCTATCGTTTCCTGCTAGTCCTAGAAGGGAACGTGCTAAACCAGAGGACTACCGCCGTCTTCTACAGTACCTCATGTCTATACCGAAGTAAGATTATACTCTTTTTTTTTATTTTTGCCGATGGTCGTCTGAGCGGAACGGGCGCGGTCAGTTGATATTCGTGTCAAAATTCACTATATTAGATCGTATTCTATTTGCGCAATTTACGCTTTATTTATTATCGTTTGCCAACTCGTTTCTCTCGTTGTTTATACGCGTGCTGAGAACTGCTGACTTTTTGAATGTTTGGCATTTATTAACACTTCATTAAATTGTTTTCATTGTAAGTGATTGCGTGAAATTCTTTTGTTCTGTTATGGACAACCATAATGTAGTGCGTAAATAATAGTTTCTAAGTAACAATTTCTATGTATAAACGACATTAACATAGTTTTTAGAACTTGCTTTTTTATCTAGAAAATTACTAGTACCATATAATCATTCAGTCACTACTCTCATATTAGATAAACAGATATTAGACTATTAAACTTAACCACCATTTCTAATTGGCGGTTAGATATGTCTCATGTATTGTTCAATTCTAACAATGCATATTACCCTAGAAAACCTTTATTTTGTAATATTGCGAACATTTCTCTTCAGACAATGCTTTGACTGAAGTATTGAAGGTCTATTTAAGCGGTAAATATTTTTTATTAAGGTTCATTTATACCAAAAGTGTTAACTCAAACGGAAAGCGTTTCTTGTTATTGATAGAAGTTTGCGGCGTTCTACACCCAAGATTAATTAAAGTGCTATCACATCTACAAGTTAGGTGAGTGTCTATTGAGTTTAGGACTTGAACGATAAGCATTCCTCATGGGACACCTATAACTATAGTTACCTATTACCCAAAACTTGATTAATGCGCTCGTAGTTTAGTTTGGTTTCATTATGAATGGAACGAAAATTTTAATTAAAAGATCGTCTTCAATAAAATTTAGTATTTTTTATACCTTAATTGGTATAGCGAGACGCAAGATGCGTGCATCCTGATGATGGCAAGGAAGAGGCCATTAAAATAAATCATCCTAGCTCGACGAACAATGACTTTTTCTTTCACTAATGAATCTAATATTCATGCATTAAGTTGGCGTACGATGATGTAATAACAAAACGGAAAAAATAAGGGAAAATGCAATTCTCTTATTCACATCATGAAATTCTAATATAAAAGTTTTCCATTTCAAATTTTTCGACCTAAAAATTTCATCTTGAAAATGTAAAAGAAGTTTTTAAAGACACACACGTCTAGAAACGACGAAAACTTTTCTGAGAATAATCGCAATAAAGTAAACATTTCGTAGACGCTTTCTCAAAATTCTCAATGATGACTAGTACTTTATATGATTCACTAAAGGCTCGAGATTTATGAAAGAAATAATGTGGGGAAACGAGGTCTGAGTGGTCTATTTGCCGTTCACCACCTTGTTTAACATTGCGACCATAAGTGTTATGATTTCAAATGGGATATCGCTACTGAACAAACATTTGGAATGGTTTATGTCGATGATGGGTGAACGTTTATGTAGCGGTTTCTTTTACGGTCATAATATCGTTTTGTAACTTGAACTATACGCCCCATTAACGCGATTGGACTTTATAAAATCGTAACATTTATTATATTGTTCGAGATTTAATTTTTAATTAAAATACTAATACCGTGTTAAGATAGAATCGTTATTAAATTGTCAATATGTGTTGGGCTTAATTGACTAAGTTTCAAGTTTCGAATTCAGTACACATCGAAATTGAATTTCTATCTTGATAACATCGTTATTAGTTACATGCAGTTTCAATTCAATTTATTCCATTTGAATCATTTAAAGAGATACGTATATTTTTATTTAAATCTTTTCGAAACATTTATAACTAAATTTGTGAATAATCTTGGGATAATTACGTTTGAGTATGTACATATATGCTCAAATTAACACGAAATGTACAGAAACTCTCGTCATCTCGGTTTCTACAGCTATTAATTAATTTTGGTATCCCAGTTATTCTAACTATGAGAATTGAAATGTCATTATACTCACAAGATATGCGTAGGACGAGTTTAAACGTCTTATTAAATTGTCATATTGTTGGTTAATGGGTAATCTTCTACTTATTATGGTTAAATACTACACTTTAAACTAGTTGAAATGACCTAAATAGTAAATAAAAGAATATTTGCCCATTTCATTTTATAATTTTTCTATTTTATTATAAGGGTTGCTTTTAGTAAGCTCTTTTCATACCTATGGGAAGTTAGCCCCCAACTTTTCTAGCCCCCCATTAAATACGACTTTATATGTATGTATAGTATTTTGATTTTAATAAGAGAACCTCTCAACCGATTTTACAATATCTCGATTCGATAGCTTAATCCTCCGCCAATACGAAAGTGGAAACCCGGATGGCTCGATTCGAAATCTTTTCGAATTCCGATAAAACCCCATAAAAGAACGGTTTGACGAATTTTAATGTTTTATCTCAATTGAAAGCTTGAGTCTGGCTGAATGTGAATGTGGGTTTAAAATATTTAAGGATTTAAATTAACACACAAAAAACTAATTAATCAAACACATCAACAAACAAAGTGCTATAAATGATACAAAGAATAATAAAATTAATCATAAAAAACATAAACATATCCATAAGAGTTAAGACACGTTTTGTCTTAACGTTTTTTACACAGTCGCTTTGCAAGTGCCACAAGTAATAACCTGACTATAACTTTGACGATCTGATGGAATTGTTCTTTGCAAAAAACACCCAGATTGTCAAAAAATTGATCTAAGTGACTGTGCAATTTGACACTCATATCAGCTCCTAATTTTTGGAAGCTTTGGAGTATTTTGTCTACTATTTCGGAATATTCTTCAAAATTGTGATTCCCCAAAAAATTTTTTCCAACTGATACAGAGATGAATTTTTTGAATTTGCCCATGCTCCAATTCAACTTCAGTTATGTGGTTTGTGAAAACATCAAAAATTCCTTTGAAACAATAGCCATTCCTATCTAAAGCTTTAACAAACTGTTTTATAAACTCAAGTTTTATATGTAGTGGCGGAAGAATGATTTTTTATCGACTAATCAATGGTTCATGAACGATCTTAGCTTTTCCTTCAGACATGTTCATTTTCGATGGCCAGTCTTTCCTGCTCCAGTGTTTATTTTTCGCACGACTGTCCCACAGACAAAAAAACACAGGGATATTTAGTGTATTTACCATTTTCAAATCTACACACACTGACCACTGATGTTGATGAAATGAAATTTTCCCTAAAACAAGTTTTATATTTTGATTTCTTCCTTAAGAGTAGTCCGTTATTGCAGTAACACACATTTCAACCTTTTTATAAGCTATCTATGAAAAGTCGCCAGTTTTTTGGTTGCTATGCTGGAAGGCTCATTGAATTTAAAAACTCAGAAATATTACAATGTATGAAATATGGAACTCGGAACTGGATACAGAACTGGAGAATGTCGCGCTTTCTCATTCGATAAGATGTTATTGCTACACCAGGCTGAAGGCAATGCTTTTATTTTAGTCTTGACGCAAGAAACTCCACTGATTTCTTAGACAAATTTAAACCTCGAATCAAGTCGTTTAGCTCGTCCTGAGAAAAACCTTCAAATGTAAGATAGACGTGAGTCAGAGTGCTTTTACTCTGACTAGCTAACATTTTAAAATCATCACACCAATCGTAGGAAATAAATACCGGTATTGAATTGTACGTTTGGGTAAACCCAAGAGCGCTTTTCATATCGGTTCATCCCTTTTACATTCACAGCACCATGGTTGGCAGGTTTAATTCACTAGATTTAAACCATTGATTTAAATCAAGGTTTAAACCAATTGTTTTTTTTAACCTAAACTGGTTTTTATCAATTGTTTGTGAGAATATATGTATTTATTATTTGATTTATTTTTATTAATGGATTGTTAATTTTTAATCTTTTGTTGATACATTAAAAATACATTTGATGTAGACTTTTGGTTATTTTTGTAGTAAATACATAAGCCTGATCAAAAACATTACAATATAAAGTCTTGATGAAATTACAATAGTCTGATATGTTTTTATAATGATCTGCGTCAATAATCAAAATAATTTGTACGTTGGTTTTAACACGTTAGCGAGTAGGGTGGCTGATAATGCTGACAATGTTGCCAAAATGCGGTAATTATTACAAAGTTGTGATGCGTTAAATGTAATAAAATAACATATGGTTGTTCAGCTCATATTTTGAATCTCCTTGGGTCATGAGTCATGACTGTCAATTTCCAAATGTCACGGAACATGTTCTTATAATCGTTAAGTGTTATCGAAATAACCATTTAGCAAATGCTCTATATAGAGAATTAGTCGTTCCAAAACTTATTATGCCAGCTGAAACTCGTTGAAATAGTTTACTGTATTGCTTAAAAGCTTACATTAAAGGCTAGTCTATGATTCTGAAAATCTCTGAAGATAGTCGAAATAAAATTGGTTGTAAAAGAAAAGTTGGCAATGTTATGTGAAAAAGAAATGTGGAAGATATGATTGGTATCTTAAAGCCAATTTCTGCAACACTTGATAAGATACAAAGCAATAAATGTACTATCGCCCATTCTGTGTATTTGTGGAAAAAATTTAAAGATAAGCTCTAGGATGTTACACAAGACATAGAAAAAAATTATCGATAGGTATAACGTGGTATTAGGACCAGCACATTTTCTGGCATGTATGCATATGATGATGATGCATATAGATCCATACACAACACACTGAAGACGAGAAAAAAATCGGGTTGGATTATGCAAGTTCGAAATGTGCATCAACTTTTCTTCTGTCATTGATAATTAAGTTTCAAACCAAAGCTTCTCCATTCATGGAGCCATTTTGCAACGAATCTGTGGTGATTCAAGTATCTGTATATGAATGGTGGAAAAGCCAAAAGCAAGCGATCGATGCTGTTAATGCCGACTTTTTTCCTATTATTGAGCAATTGCTCACTGCTCAATCGTAATCCACGAGTGTTGAAAGAATTTTTTCTTCATTTGGTTTGGTGCAATCTTCAGCCGTTTTAGCGTGTTATTT